TCCTGGCAGAGGAAACACGCAGATATGCATGTTGTGTCTGGGGCACTGACAGGTTAAACAGAGAGGCAGCACCACAGGATGGGAAGAAGTCTGTCATTTGTTAACCTCGCAATTTGGAGCAATTTACTTAACCTTCCTCATGCTTCCATTTCTTCATCGTTTAAAAAGTTATTTTCCCATCACCGTTTCCATTTGACATTATTCTATATTCGTTTCAGATGTACAGCAAAGCAGTTAGACCATCACACACTTAATAGTGAGAATATTTGTTCTATTTATCTCATAGTTCATAAGAAACCCACGAGGTAATGCTTGTGCAAGCAATTTGAAAACCATCGAGCTGCGTATTAATAAATAATACATATCATCGTGCATTACATTTTAATAGTAATAACCTTATAATTGGGAACAGAAAGAGCTCCCCCTTCTCTCAGTTCATTTTTTTTGTGTGTGTGTGTGTTTTTTTCCTGGCTATCCATGACCTTTGTCTTTCCTCCTCTGACTTGCAGAGGGTGACAGAAAGCACTGGTCCTTGATGGAGATGCTGGAGTGCCCTTCGCCATTTCATCCCAGGAAACCCCCTTCTCACAGTTAACATTACAGTGAGAACGGGAATAAGGAGGTGGTGCTCAATATCCATGGAATTTTACAGATACTTTTTTTCAAAAGATAAAATTTCTAAGTTTAATTTCAGAGTATGCATTTTACTTTACTTAAATGTGCTACATTTTTACTTGACTCAATATTTTCATGTCCAATGAATAGCTAATAGGATGATCAATGCATACGTTTTTTAAAATGATATTCCCTAGATAAATACTGTGAAAAGCAATATAAATTCCTGCCTTAAAACAGTGTGAAAGTCCACATTTTACCCAGAAAAACACACACACAACAACCCATAAACAAATTTAATTTCAATACATAGATTTTAGGGAACTGGAGAACAATATTGAATTGCACAAAAGAAATCTGGGCACAATAAGTAGTTACACGTCCACTGATATACTTACTGGCCTTTTTTCAAATACCTTTTAACCCAGGACCCCTCACACTATCAGATGAAGCAGATGAAGGCCCAGAACCGGGGGGCAGTGTGCAGAGATTGAAATGTACTAAATTAGCCCCACGAACTGGTCAGTGCCTGCCCCCCCACCCCCACCCCGCTGTGTCTTCCTGTGGAGGGAGACTCCTGGTTCTGCAGAGAGATAATGTCAGGTGGCCTAGCGCACCCAACCTCAGCAGATAGCATCCTGAGACTCCTGTGGAAGCAGCACTGAAGCTGCTGTTCTATAAAATGAGAAGCACTATTGACATTTCTAAGCTCAGAACTATGTTTTTAACAAGCCTGAAAATACTGGAAAATAGCGAGTTCAGTTTTCTCTAGAGGCTGCAGTGCAGTTAGAATGAACACCCACCCCCACCCCGAGTGTGTATCTGGATAAAATATGTGCAATGAAATTTCAGGGCAAAATCTGATGCCGGAATAATCTAAAACATGGCAGATTTATACCGGGGGTGATTTTTATTTATTTTTTCAACTGTGGATTCCCTTAAGAACTCAAATGTTCTACAGGTTACTTACAGCTTCTCCTTGAAAAGACTTACCTCGAAGGTCTGAGCAGCATAAAACTTCAGGCTGCGCAGTCCTCAGCCATAATTCTCCTTCGCCACTGACTCTGGGTGGTTTGGAATTAACTAGCACTCGACCCTTATGGTAATTAATAATTTATAATTAAACTGGCAGTTTGAGTATATCAGCAAAACTGGAAGTGTGGCACCTCTTGTCTTTGTTGTCTTTCCTTTTATTTTCTGAAAGAAAATTGAGAAGAAAGGTTAAAACCTTTGTGGCCCCCACCCCTACCCCCAGCCACTCCAGTTTTTGGATTTGTCCACTGTGTTCTTTGGATCTTTCTTTCAAAGAAGAATCAAGCATGTACCTCCTCAGCCTTGTGCCAGAGCCTGAGGACACAGGGATTGTGAAATCCCATCCTCATCCTCAAGCACCTCCATCTCTAAGTAAAGGGACAGGCATACAACGATCAGCTGGGTCACTACAGGCCTAGCCCCACCTGTAGGGAGCTTGCCACAATACGTAGCAAAGAGAGATGAGGGATTCTCTTTTCAGGGTCTAAGGCAGTGGTTCTCAACCTTGGCTGCACATTAGAATCACCTGGGAATCTTGTTAAAATTCTGATTTCTGGGCCTCATTATTAGTAACAAACAGAATTTCCGGAGGATGAGGTCCAGAAATCAGGATTTCAACAAGATTCCCAGGTGATTCTAATGTGCAGCCAAGGTTGAGAACCACTGGTCTAAGGGGAGATGACCTTTGAGGACCCTTGAAAGTTGAGTCATCTGTTTTCAGGTAGAAAATGAAGAGAAGACAAGGACAAGCAAAGCTATGGAAGTCCTTGTGCTTTGTCACGTTCCAGGGAAAGTGGGTTCACTATCTGCCGGGTGCTGCTAGTGAGGTCTGCACCTAGAGATGAGGTTTGTCAGTAGGTTGAGGGGCTAGATTTTAGGGGCGTAGGTAGGTCATGCAAAAGAGGTGTTGTGTGAAGCCTGGTGGGCAGTGTTGAGCTAGAGTAGATAGGGGAGCAGTTTGATTAGATGATTGCTTCAAAAGGTTCCTCTGAACACAGGCAGGGGAGAGGTTGGAAGGACCCAAAGTTGGAAAGAGAACAGGTAGAAGGTCTCAAGTGGAAGGCTATCGTTCATGTGAAATTTGGTGAGAAATTAAACCAGGACAAGGGCGATGAGAAGTAGGAGTTGAGGGGAATCAGGGTATTTTCCAATGTTGAGTTTTGAGTTGAATTGAGATAATCAGGCCTGCAGGTGGGACAGGGTAGATAGCAAAGCCAGGGATCATGTCAGCCTTTGCAATGCTAAAGGTAAAGGGACATGGTGCCAGCCCGTGAGAGTTCAAGAGTTTATTGAGAAAGACGTAATTATTGCTGTCTCCATCTTCGTCTTCTTTGTCTTCTGTTAATATTTATTGAGTGGTTCTTTCCTATCAGGCACATATAAACCTCACAACACAGTTAGTTTAGCTACTATTATCTTCTATATTCTGCAGCTGAGGAAACCAAGAGGGGAAGGCAGTCCACCCTGCCCAAGATTATTCAACAGGCGAGGAGTTGAGCTCTAGAGCCCAGCCCCTAACCACTGGAGTATGATGCCAGTATGCCTATGTTTTATAACACAATATTATAGTGGCCGTAGTAGCAGGTGCAATGCATGCCTGACTCTGGTTGCGCAAGCCAGAGGCAGTTTTCTGTGTTTTAAAAAATGTGTTTTAAGGAATGAGAAGAAAATTTCAGGTAAAGAAAGTGTGGAAGAAAAGAATTGCAGGATGGAATAATCAGTGCAGGGCCAAAGAATGTGAAAATGTCTAGAATGCTCAAGGAAGGGTAACTAACTCAGTGTGGTTGGCTTTATTGAAAAATAAAAAGGGCTTAAGTGGGGGTAACTCATGCCTATTTGCTTAAGTCAGCAATTCCACTAAAATAAATGAGCATGTGGACAGACAGGAACTCAGAAAACATTGTAAGTAGTTTCCTTTTGGTTTGACCTTTCAATCAACAAGCATTAATGTCCTTGTCTTCAGTTCCTGTGCTTCTTCAGCCGCCCCCCCTCCCCCGCCCCGCCCCGACACACACACCCGCCTCCTGCTGCAAGACATAAGTGCACTGTAAATGTTGTGTTGGTGGCCGCATCCTTGGCCAATCAAGAAATCTGAATATTATTATTGAGACGCTACTCGTTAAAAAGCATGCTATATGAATATTTATAGGCTAGCACCTTCTTTTGAGTGTAAAGACTCATTCTCATGTATTTATTCTCTTCTCTGTTTCTTCATAGTTCCTCCACAAATCATGAACATCTCCTCAGATATCACTGTGAACGAGGGAAGCAGCGTGACCCTGCTGTGTCTTGCTATTGGCAGACCAGAGCCAACTGTGACGTGGAGACACCTGTCTGTCAAGGGTAAGGCATGTACCTATAGAACCTTCTTAGAGCTGGTATTTTGAAGACTTGATTCCATTGTACATCAGAACTTCCGGAATCTGAAAACAATGCTGTTTGATACCCGAGTAATGTCAGAGCAAAGGCCACACCCATCAGTCACTGAGTATACCATTCCTGAAGGAAGATTTATAGATAATCTTTACTGAATTATTATTTCAGTCCTTTTTATGACTTTAGCTGATTTTTGTGTTTCCCACTATGAAGAAGAGAGGTGCCGTAAGAATAACTTCCAACAAAGAAACTGATTTCTCAAGGTCAAGATTGGGTGGGTTAGTTGGTGGGTTGTCCTTCTTGAGTAGAGTGGAGAACACGGCAGTGTCCACTGGGACCACTGACGTCATTGTGTGTCGAGGAGAAAAAGGGTCTCCATGCTCAGTACTTTTGGAACATTTACCCAGAGCCCCATGTGTTTGACCTGTTCATATACAGCACTCTCTAGTAGAGGAAAAATGAAAGAAATGGTAAGGTGTGTAAGGGGAGTGGGGCAGGAGGGGTCATGCCTGTGCCAGATGATTAGTAATGAAATGATTAGTAATGAAACGTCGGCTATGAGCATCTCCAAGTTATTAGGAAGGAAACAAAAAAGACATTGCAGCACACCTTGACCCCTGAGTTCCTAGTTCCCACTCTCTTCTTGAATCTGTGTAATAGACTGGCTATATGGAATTAGTTCAGGAAGTCAGGTATAAAGTTCCCACAAAGGGCAACCAGAACTGCTTATTTCTTTCCATAGAATCAGCACTGACATTCCAACCCTCTCATTCATACGCATTCTCCCCCGCCACTGCTCCCTCAGGGGTCAGGCCCTCACTGGGCCAGCCATGGGTACAAGCTAAATTGTATTTGGTGTTTCTGGATGTGAAGGTGCATTGCCTGATCTTGGTCTCATCTTAACATGACCTTCCCCCCTGTGCGCATCTCTCGGCCAATTTCTTTTTTTTTTCTTCTTCTTTTTTTTTTTTTATAAGGACACCAAACATGATGGATTAGGGCCCTCACTAATGACCTTATCTTTAGTTGATTACCGCTGTAAAGATCCTATCCTATATAATAAAAGGCTAATATGCAAATTGTCCCCTCAGGAGTTCGACCAGGAGACTGGGAGTTCAATTGCTTGCTATGACATACGGTGACCACCAGGGGGCAGTACTGACCAGCCGGTGACCAGTGGGGGCAGCAGGACACTGAGGGAGCGAGGGAAGGGGGAGGTGGGGAGGCCAGGAGGTGGAGAACCTGATCACCAGCCAGGCTTAGGAATACCACTGTGATAACAGCTCTCAACTCCACCTTTGGTCGTAAACAAGCAGTAGCCACCACCAACACCCCCTCCCATTTCCACTTACCTGCTCTAATACCTG